TGGTTCCTGTCTGTCTCCCCAAGCGAGGCCGTGACACCCGTTACCGTTGAACACAGGAGCCCTATCTGAGTCATGGATACATCCCCATCATTCCCTCTGGGCTTAGGACACATGAGTTGTTCATGAAATCTTTGCTTTTGAATAGAGAGGTATGAGGAAGAAAGTCAGTTGGAAACTACTTTGAATGACAGAAGCGAGATAAAGGAAAATGCCTTTTCTTCTCTTCGTGGCACTTCTGACACCAAATGTGCGGGTTTTTCCACACCGAGCAGTCCTCCGGTTCTCCATGGACACCAGCTGTGGATGTTCTGCACTTTAACTCAGTCCTGACAGCAACTGCCCGAAGTTAGTGCAGACGCCACGAATTAAGGGCTCAATTCCACAAGTCTGTCTCCACTTCTGACACCAATCCCAAGTCCCAGGTTGTCACCTGTACTTCTGACTAACAGGCTTCTCTCCCTTCCTCCCTGCAAATGTTTCACATATGCACATAGTTTTATTATTATTTAATTTATTGGGGTGACATTTGTTAATAAAAGTATATAGGTTTCAGGGCTACAATTCTGTAACACATCAGCTGTACACTGTATTGTGTGTTCACCACCCCAAGTCAAGCCTCCTTCCCTCACCATTTATCCCCCTTTACCCTGTCCTACCGCCCCATCCCCATTTCCCTCTGGCAATCACTATACTGTGGTCTGTGTCTGTGAGATGTTTTTTGTTATCTGGTGGTTGCTTAATCCCTTAATCTGACTAACCAGCTTTATATTGTGGGTTCCCATGATCCCTTGTCAGGTCTGATAATTTGCCAGAACAGCTCACATTTACTTATATTTACCAGTTTATTATAAAGGATATTACAGAGGACACAAATGAAGAGCCAGATAGAGAGGCACGTAGGTCGAGGTATGGGGAGGGAACGCAGAGCTGCTCTGCCCTCCCAGGCGCACCGCCCTCCCAGCACCTTCTCCTTTTGGAAGCTCTCCAAACCTGTAGTGTAAGGTTTTTATGGAGGTTCCATTGTGTAGGAGTGATTGATTAAATCATTGGTCATTAGTGATTAAACTCAGTTCCCAGCCCCTCTTCCCTCCCTGGAGTGGAGGTCAGGGAGTAGGGCTGAAAGCTCCAACCCACTAATCACAGGGTTGGTTCCTCTGGCAAACAGATCGCCCCCCCCCCCCC